TATGAGTATATGTTATGCAGCCTTAGCTTTGCTGATAGATAAGATAGATAATGCTGCTTTTAATCGGTAGCAAGAGAGAGCATCATGCTGTGTTTAAAGCACTGGCTTCAGAGTCACAACAGAACTAGTACTTCTATGGCCTGGAGCAAGACCCTACAACTGTTATATGGATCAGTTTCCTCCTCTGTCAGCATTGTATTACTTATAAGATAGCACTGATGGGAAAATAGCATTTGGAAAAAATGTATAAATAGTATTTGACAAGGCAGAAGGAAAGAGATCATAAAACTTAGAGCAGAAATCAACGACATGGAAACCAAAAATACAATCAGAAAGATCCATGAAACCAAGAGCTGGTTCTTCGAGAAAATAAATAGTATTTGACAGAAAAATATTTACTTAGAGGGGCTGAAAAGATAGTACAGATAGTGCCAGGTGCATGCCTGGCAGGTAGCTGATCCAGTTTGATCTCACCCTAACCATCCCCTCACCCGCCGTCAGCATCACCAAGTGCAGCTTGGAGGCCCTGAGCCCCAAGCATTGCCAAATTCTCTTGGTTGCCCATTGAGTCACCTTGCATTTAGTAAGCAGTTTATTTGGGAGTGAGTGGGGGGCAACCTGGGGGTGGGGTTGGGCCACACCTAGCAATGCTCTGGGATTACTCCTGTGCTCTGTGCATGGTGTGTTGGGCAACCATATGGGATAGAGAATTCACAGGGCGAGTGCTGAAGCTTTGCCTGTAGGGGCCCTGGGTCCTATCCGAGGTCCCACTTGCTAGTCTAAACACACCGGGAGCTTAGGAAAAAAGCAGTAGTAACCCTTGAGTACCACTGAGTGTGACCCTCAAAACTAAACAAAAACAGAAGAGAAGGGACTGGAGAGTTTGGGGCCACATCTTCCCAGACAGTGCTCAGGGCCCGTTCCTGGCTCTGTGCTCAGGAGTGACCAGATGGGGAACCATCTGCAGTGCCGGGGAGTCAAACTGGGGTCTGCAGGATGCAAGGCAAAGCCCAACTCCTCTCTTTTCTCTCCACTGTCCCCAATTTTTTTTAAATAAAATATTTCCTGATATTTTCAGGTGAGACAAATATCTCTGTGGTTATTTAAGCATATCTGTGATGAATTCCTTAAAATAATTTCACAGGTAATGGTGGGTTTTTTAAGGAGATATTTTGTCTTTTGATCATTTCCTTATAGAAAGGAACCATTTCCTTACAGAATCCATTCCATTTAGTCTTTGTATATTTATTTGCTATAAGAAATGAACTGACAAACAGATTAGCTATTTATGTAAATCCCTCCCGCATAATTCTCTTACTAGGGCCAAGCCACAGGAAGCCAAGGTTTCCCAAAGCCTGGAACCCAGACAGGGTTAGCCAGATCTTCACAGTCAGACTACTCCACGAGGAAGTCCTGCTCACCATAGAAATTGATCAGCCCTGAGCATAGAGCCAGGAGTAAGCCCTGAGTACTACCAGGTGTGGGCACATACTTTTTTTTTTTTCAAACTAAAGTGCCAGTAATGTTAAAGTTACCTAAGGGTTGGTTTGTTTTTCTGTTAGTAACTTAGATTAGGGAGATGTTTGCCTCTGTTTCCATTTACTCCTTTGCTTATCTGTTCACTTCCTGCCTCCAGAACTGATCTCTTTCCTCGACTGAGTTAGCCCTTCCTTTAATCATTACACCTAGGTTCGTACCTGTCGTACCTGACAGACTAAAGAGACAGTCTCTCCCGGATGTAAAAAAGTGTGTGTCGCATTTTAGCCTCTTTTTGTGGCCTTGGTGTCCAGGTGTGCCTGCATCTTCAGAGCGGTCAGTAGTTTCTGTCACTCACACCTCTCCCAGCTTCTCCCTTTTAAGGAGAGCACTGTGAGGTGCAAGGCCAGTGCCTTAACCCTTGAACTACCTTGCTAGCTCTAAGGAATAATTTTTCTTCCCACTCAGCGGAGTTGTCTTTTAAATTCTTTGTATTGACCTAGACCAGTTGGGTTCCGCAATTCACCCTTGTCTGGCATCTTTAGCATTGAGTATAAGTATGTTTGGGCCAGGGATGGAGCTCCATGGTAGAGCATGTGTTTTTCATGTATGAGACTTTGAATTCAGTCCCCAGCAACACACAGACACAAAGTTAGGAGAGAAAGAGAAGGAAATAGCAGCTCTTGTTAGTTAAACCAATAAGTCCTATTCATTTGAAGTTCTTCCGCCCCTCTCGGAGAGCCCGGCAAGCTACCGAGAGTATTCGATATGCCAGACACAGTAACAACAAAGTCTCCAATGGAGACGTTACTGGGCCCGCTCGAGCAAATCGACGATCAACGGAAGGGCCTTTACCTTTACCTTTACCATTTGAAGTTCTTAACTGTAATTTCCTGGTGTAATTATTGACATAATTTTGTTGATTTGGCTTCATAGATTTTTCATCTTCTTTTTTGGCTCTTTCAGGCTATACCTGGTAGTGCTCAGGGGTTATTCCTGGCTCTGCAATCAGGAATCCTGGCAGGCTCAAGGAAGCATGTGGGATGCTGGGGATCAAACCTAGGCTAGCCACATGCAAAGCAAGCACCTTACTCATTGTACTATCTCTCTGGCCCCTGGTTCAAAACACTCTACTGGTTAATCATTATTTGACCCTCCAATAAATCGAAGACATCCCCAACACAACAGGATCTTTTGAATTCATGTTTACTCATATTTATGGGGGAAAAATGATAATGATTTTTTTTTCTTTTTTTTTTTTTCTTCTGGTTTTGGGGCCATACCCAGTGGTCTTCAAGGGTTGTTTTCCAGCTTGATGCTGGGAGGTGCTTTCAGTGGTGTTTGGGGCACCAGGCAATACCAGTATCAAACTTGGGGTTCCTACATGCAAAATATGTGCCCCAGACCTTTTGAGTCAACCCCTCGGGTCCCTTAAAATGTACTGCTCCAGGGCTAGAGAGAGTTCAAGGGATAAGGCACTTTTTTTTTTCATGCAGCTGACCCCAGTTTGAGCTCTAGCGTGGTCCCTGGAGAACTACCAGAAGTGACCCTTGAGCACTGAGCCAGGAGTAGCTACTGGACACTGCCAGGTGTGACCCAAATATCCCCTCCCCCCAAAGAAAAAGTACTGTCATGGGAACTGGGGATATCAATCCCAGATACTACCAAAAGCTATAGAAAAGGGAAAATTTGTTTCTCATACTTTCCTAGGAGAACATGGAGAGACCTAACACAAGAGCAGCAGATGATTAAAAAATCAGAAAATCAAAATTTTTACTTTCGGGGCTGGAGCGATAGCACAGCTGGTAGGGCGTTTGCCTTGCACGCAGCCAACATGGCCGACACAGGTTCGATTCCCAGCACCCCATATGGTCCCCTGAGCACTGCCAGGAGCAATTCCTGAGTGCATGAGCCAGGAGTAACTCCTGAGCATCGCCGGGTGTGACCCAAAAAGCAAAAAAATATATTTACTTTAAAGTGTCAATTAATTAATTAAATTAAAGGCCCTCCTGTTGATCATCAATTTGCTCGAGCGGGCCCAGTAACGTTTCCATTGGAGACTTTGTTGTTACTGTGTCTGGCATATCGAATACTCTCGGTAGCTTGCCGGGCTCTCCGAGAGGGGCGGAGGAATCGAACTCGGGTCGGCCATGTAGGCTGCATACAAGGCAAATGCCCTACCGCTGTGCTATCGCTCCAGCCAAAGTGTCAATAAAGTAATATTATCTCTAAATATAGATGGCTTAGATAAAAGTTGCTAGAATTTTCTTCCTCCTATACTATCGTCTTGACAGTCCTTTTGTTCTAATGGCCATTGTTAGTTGGAGTAACTTATTTAAAGCAGTTAGCTCTCTATCTGATAGGAGTATTTTTCTAAGCTCAAGAAATAAAAAGCACATTTTATCAGGCTAACCATTCTAATGAGAGCACTAAAACGCTTAATTTAATAGACATTTTGTTGACTTTTATTATAGGCAAAACCCCCAGTTGCTAATCACTTTCAATAAGTACATGTTTCCAGTAGGCCTTGAGATGATTCTTTTCTTCTTCTTTTTTTGTTTTTGTTTTTGTTTTTGGGCTATACCTGTGCTGCTCAGGTCTTACTCCTGGTTCTGCACTCAGAGGTCAGTCCTAGTGGGGCTCAGGGGACCATGTTGGTGCCAGGGATTGAACCTGGGTCAGCTGCATACAAAGCATGTGCCTGGTCCATTGTGTTTGCTATAGTCCTAGGTAGAATTTTTTATTTTACTTTTTCGTTTTGGTTTTGGGGGGTGGGAATAGGGGTGGGAATACCCGGCAATGTACAGGGGTTACTCCTGTCTCTACACTCAGAAATTACTTCTAGTGGTGCTTAGGGCACCTTATGGAATGCCAGGAATCAAACCCAGGTCATCCACGTACAAGGTAAGGCTCCCAACGCTCTCTGCTATCAGTCCAGCTCCTGTTATTTTTCTTTAACATTGCTATAAATTCTGTTAACATTTTTCAGTGACTGCCCAACATTTTGTATTGGATTACCTTAATTTTTTATTATTAAAAACAGAACCTGAGCAAATACAGATGTACTCCTTTAACATGGTTATTAAATTTTATCTGGAATTTGGTGTTTTCCAACTAACAATCTGATAAAAATAGGCCATTTTACAATAATTAGAAAAAGTATGTTATTTTGTGGCTATATATATATATCAAAGTTACTACAGAATTGTTTTCAAATCATCCTTAATATTACCAGCATCCCAACAAGATCATTATAGTACTTTACAAATTTTAAGACAAACTTAATGACAAAAAAAAAAAGCACCCAAAGGAATTTTCCGTGGAAAGTAGTATCACTAAATTCCTTATAAATGTCCTCAAAGTCCTTGGCAAACTGTATTATTTGGTACGTAGGAAAGAAATGAAAACTGTTTATTGCATAATAGTGTCTGAATTTCTTTCTGATAATGGAATGTTTTCAGGGTTTTAAACAATCAGGTGGATTTTAATTTATCATCTGTGCATTCTCATAATAAACATTTTAGGTCAACCGGCTATTCCGAGGTGATCGTTGTCGTTGGCGGCTGTGAGCGAGTTGGGGGATTTAATCTTCCATACACTGAGTGCTATGATCCCGTGACAGGAGAATGGAAGTCTTTGGCGAAGCTTCCAGAATTTACCAAGTCAGAGTATGCAGTCTGTGCACTCAGGAATGACATTCTTGTCTCAGGTAAATGATTATTGCAGTAGCTCCATGTTATTTGTAGGAGTCAGGATCACAAATAGTGATGTTCAGGGGTTCATAAGGGCCCGCACACATGCTAGACAAGTGCTCTACCGCCTGAGCAATCCCCCCACACACACATACACACACATACTTTTGATTTGAATACAGCTATTTTGAATGATAATGTCTCAAAAGGAACCAGTGAGAACAGATGTGCATATTTTAGGCAGATGAGTTTACATAAGAAATAATACAGAATGACTTTTTGCTCTTAAAGACAAGTTTGAGGTGATGAGAATGATTTAGTAGATGGTCTGCCTCAAAATGCCTCAAAAATTGTATGTTTTGTGTGTTCTCTAAAAAAAAAAAAGTATGATGTTCTAAGCTTTTATCTATGTAAGGAGTAAAGTGTATGAAGTCAGGCACACTTAGAGAATTAAGCATCTCTAATCCACCCATGTCTTCTGAAATTCTTTCCAGATTTTTTACAATAGAATTTTTCTTTTATTCTTAATTTATGTTAGATAGCTCCATGGATTGGATTGCAGTCTTCTTTATTTTTTTGGTGCGGGATGGGAAGGTGGGGGGAATAGAGGAGGACACACCCAGCGCAGTGCTCAGGGGTTGCTCTTGGCTCTGTACTCAGGAATTACTCCTGGAGGTGCTCTGGGGATCATATGGGATGCCAGAGATCGGACCCACGTCAGTCACCTGCAAGGCAAATACCCTACCTTCTGTTTGTTCTCTTGCTCCAGCTCCTGGGCTGCAGTCTTTGGCCTGCTGGAGGCCTGGGTTCAATTTTCACTATCTTGTGGTCTCCAAGCACTGAGCCAAGTAGCTCCTGAGCACTGTTGGGTATGCCTCTCCTCCCCCTCCAAAAAATTCTTAATTTGAACTTCATTTGCGATACGAGATATCAAAAATAAAGTGATAAACTTGTATAAAGTATAACTGATTTTTTTTTGGTTTTTGGTTTTGTTTTTTTGGGGTTTTTTTTGTTTTTTGTTTTTTTTTTTTTGCTTTTTGGGTCACACCCAGCGGTGCACAGGGGTTACTCCTGGCTCTGTACTCAGGAATTACTCCTGGTGATGCTCAGGGGACCATATGGGATGCTGGGAATCAGCCCGGGTTGGCCACGTGCAAGGCAAACGCCCTACCTGCTGTGCTATCGCTCCAGCCCCAACTGATGTGTTTTTGACCTGAAGTCTGTTTATTTTTTCTTCTTTCTCTTTTGGTGTTGGGGCCATACTGCCAGGGCTCATGGCTTACTCTTGGCTCTGTGCACTTTTACTCTGGGTGGGACTTGGGGACCATTTGGGGTGCTGGGGATAGAACCCAGGTCAGCCATGTGCAAGGCTAGAGCCCTACCCATTGTACTACCACTCTGGCCCCCAGAAGTCTGTTTATTAAGTAATTTTCCTAGCTTTAAAGATTATTACCTTACTTGACCAATATGAAAAACACATACTTATTTATTCTATTATATACTTTCTTAAAAATAGATGATTAAAAAAAACTTTTAGAGTAATTCTGTTGATGGAGTTCTTTCAATGTCTGACTCCTAAATTAACAATTCATATATATATATAAAGTTCATATTCTGCCTTTTATTATTTGGGCCTATAATTATCATTTCCCCAAATAGCACTTGTCAGTTTGAACTTGCTATGCGGAACTATTTCCACTGGGGTTCTTGTTTCATTGCTGGCTCGCAGACTGGGGAGGGAAGCCCGTACATTCATCCTCTGTACCTTGGTGGCCTGAAAATCCTCAGCAATATGAACAACTACATATGACTGCATGTGCCCTATTTTGCATTTAAAGGTGGAAGAATCAATGGCCGTGACGTCTGGATCTATAACTCACAGTTAAATATCTGGATCAGAGTTGCTTCCCTAAATAAAGGCAGATGGCGTCACAAAATGGCTGTCCTCCTTGGTAAAGTAAGAGAAGCCGCTTTTTACTCTCGCTGGTACTTTTCCAAAATAAATACCACAGTCGAATTCTTTATTTTACTTTCCCTTTGGGTATTTTGGATTCAAGTTGTATTTCCTTCCATTCCTGACCTCATTAGATAAACTGAAAATATAAACAGTCTGACACTATACTGTTGAATGGGGATTTTGTTCTCCCAAGTTGGAGTTTGGAGCATTTTAGCACATTTCTCCTCTCTTGCACCGCCAGCGTCTAAACGCCTACGATGCTTAGGGCAAGAAAGAAGTTCTATGAGCATAAAAATCGGCCAGTGTCTAATCCACGTGGCCTTTTTCTTTTATTCACTTTGGCACTTAGAAATATAGTTATCTGAGTAACCTTATTTTGTTTCATTCGTAAAACTGGGGACGGTCAGCTTAAAGTAAACACAACAATACCTTTTAAAGAAAATGTATTGACAATTTATATATCTAGAAGTTGTATGTATACATAAATATATATACATATATATGGCACATAAAATATGTGATATGGTTCTGAACCATTTGTTGTCCTTAGAAGCTTGAGAATCACTTGCAGACTGGCTTCAAAACTTTAAAAAAAAAAAAACTGCATCCTTTTTTAAAAGTTAAATCTAATACAAAAGACTTTACCATAAGGTAGATAAAAACAGAGTGGTATACAAGCCTAACTTGGACTCTGTCATCTCTCCCTGTCCCTTCTCTGTAGTTCCTATAAATCTGCCTCAAATCATTAAAAATAAAAGTTCAGTAAAAGCAGAAGCATTATTTGCACATATATTCCCAAATTCTTCATATAACACCGGGGTTTACCAAGTTGTTCATAATACAAATGTTCCCGGTATTAAACTTTCCAACAAAGATCCCTGAACATGTATTTTTGACTGGGTCCCTCGGATCCCTCTCTGAAAAAGAGATACCTGCCCTCAGGTCTGCGTGTGGAGGGACTTCAGAGCCACCAGTGAGAAAACCACTGTTCCACTGAAGCAGAGAAGGGCCCAGCACCTGGCCCACTTAGTCCATGCATGAAACTCCTTGCTTGTAATCACAGCCTGGAAAAATTTCTATTGGATGCATATGGCTTCATCTCTACCAGGAAGAGGGATGATCCTAAGTCAGATCATCAGTCAGGGACGTCTGTAGTTCGGGTCAAGCAATGTCATTCCCTACGGAGCGAATGATTGGTTCATGGCAAAATGAACAATCCACTGCTCTGTATATAAAGCATAGATATAAGCTCCCTAAAAGAGTATCGGTGGTATTACAATTTCAGTGGCAGAACTATTTTGAAAAACCTATGAAGGCTCCTTCATGATGGTGAGGATAAAAAAAAATTTTTTTCTTTTTTGGGCCACACCTGGTGCTGCTCAGGGTTTACTCCTGGCTCTGTGCTCAGGAATCACTCCTGGTAGTACACAAGGAACCATATGGGATGCTTACGGTCGAACCCTGGTCAGCTGCATGCAAGGCAAGCACCCTACTCATTGTACTATGACTTCAGTCTCAGGAATAATATTTCTAAGAGAGTCAAAGTTTCTGTATGGCTCATTTCATGCCATGTCTTTGTGAGTTCTGCGCACTCCAGGACTGCCAACAAAAGGGGGAAAGGTCAGAAACTGAGCTAACTATATTATAATTATTGTCATCAAGGGCTCTTGGTGTGTGTGTGTGTGTGTGTGTGTGTGTGTGGTGTGTGTGCATGTTAGTGTGTGTGTATCAAATCTACATCCCTGGTCAAGGGCTTTTGTTTTATGGCCACACAGGTGGTGCTCAGGGCTTCCTCCTGGCTCTGTGCTCAGTGATCACTCCTGGCAATGCTTTGAGGGACTATATCCAGTTCCGGGTATCAAACTGGGAGCTATTCCATACAAGACAGCGCCAAGCCGCCTGTCCTTTCTCTCTGGCCCCTCAAGGCTTTTTGCATGCAGGAAGATTAATTCTTCAGCTCACTCATTCAAAATCCAGACGTTTGAAGTTCAGATTTTTCCCGTTGCTTGCCATCCAGGTATATGTTGTTGGAGGCTATGATGGGCAAAACAGACTCAGCAGCGTGGAATGCTATGACTCCTTTTCCAATCGATGGACTGAAGTGGCTCCCCTAAAGGAAGCTGTGAGTTCTCCTGCCGTGACGAGCTGTGTAAACAAATTGTTTGTCATTGGTGGAGGACCTGATGATAATACTTGTTCTGATAAGGTAAGCCGTATTTTCCTACAGAAGTTACTAATGGTTTATCCAAGAGAAATGCAGAGGGTGTTGGATTCCTTTAAATAGGGGGGAGGGGGGCTTTTAAAATTTTCCTGGTACTTTAAACTTTAAAGGAAAGACATTAAATTTCAAGTTACTAATGTGAGATTGTGATATATCTAACAATTGCTATAAAAAGCATGAGTCAATCAGTCTTACAGAAATCAGATTAATCTCAGTGTTGACACCTTGAACTAAGTCATTTTTTGAAAAAAAAATATCACTGGAGTCTAAGAACTGAAAAAAAATTGATTTCACATAAAACATAGTTAGGAAATGAATTTAGCAAAGTATAAGAGGTAATTCTGTGTAGCATGAATGTGTCTTTTGGAATAAAGAAGAGGAAAAGAACTCCTGCATTGTAAACAAGTGATTGATTAAATTTGATCCCACTCATGAAACCCTAGGGACAAAGAGCTGGAACATAGTACAGAGGATAGGCTTGCCTTGCACACAACCAACCCAGGTTCAATCCCCAGCACCCATATGGTCCCCCGACCCCTTCAGGAAATGATCAAAGAGCAGAGCCAGGAGTAAACCCTGAGAACCACCAGATGTGGCCTGAAAACCAATAAAAGGAAAAATAGGAAAATGTTTTTTTCTGGAAGCAAACATTCCATGCCGATCAGGTTTAGACATAGCTCACTAAATTTTGACAGTTAATTCTCATTCTAAATTCAATTTTCACGTGATTTCAAATGTTAAAAAATACTTAGATTTCAGAATTTATGATAGTTCAGAGTTATTGAATTGAGGCTTACATGTGTTCTTTTGAAGAAAGATGAGCTAAAATTATAAAAGAAAATTGTGTTCTGATTGAGGCATAGATCTGTGCAGCTTGGTGTTTCCTTTCTCAACCCAGACTCAATGGAAATGGGCAAAGCAAACCTGGTAGGTATTCATTTTGTGTTTGTTGCTCTGATACGCTTGCTAGTAATACATTTGCATACCTTTTGAGAATTTTATAATTCAAACATTTCACAATTGAACTAACTCTAATTCTGTTAATTAATGGGACTTGGTTTTTTGAATCATGTATTGATACATGATAGACTGCATTAAGTAAAATGGTATTTTTAAAGAAATCTTCATTCGATATTTCTTTTCTTAGGTTCAATCCTATGATCCAGAAACCAACTCTTGGCTCCTTCGTGCAGCTATCCCCATTGCCAAGAGATGTATAACAGCTGTTTCCTTAAACAACCTGATCTATGTTGCGGGTGGATTGACCAAGGCAATATACTGTTATGACCCAGTTGAAGATTACTGGATGCACGTACAGAATACATTCAGCCGGCAGGTAATACCACAAACAGTCCAGAAGAAATCAATCTAGGAAGGGCCTCGGACTAGTCAAGTACAAGACTGTTAAGAATAGGGGCCAGACAGCTGGAACAGAGAAGGGATCACCAAGAAAATGATGGCTGGGGGAATTGGTCGGGATGGGGGATGTGTGCTGAAAGTAGAGAAAGGGTCAAACATGATAACCTCTCAGTGTCTGTGTATCATTAGCAAACCATAATGCCCCAAAGTAGAGAGAGATGATAGGAAATCATATCTGCCATGGAGGCAGGGAGAGGGTGGGAATGGGGGGGGGGGGTGATACCGGGGATATTGGTGGTGAGGAATGTGCATTGGTGGAGGGATGGGTGTTTGATCATTGTGTGATTGTAACCCAAACATGAAAGCTTGTAACTATCTCACAGTGATTCAATAAAATTAAATAAATAAATAAATAAATAAAAAGAATAGGGGCCAGAGTGATAGTACAGCAGGGAGGGTATTTGCCTTGCACGCTGCTGACCCAGGTTCGAGTCCCAGCATCCCAATATTGTTCCCTGAGCATCACCAGGTGTAATTCCTGAGTGCAGAGCCAGGAGTAACCCCTGAGCATCACCACGTGTGGTCCAAAACAACAACAAAAAGGATTATACTGTATTCACTATGAAAATATTTCACATATGCTTGATGACCTAATAACATTTTAAACTCCTCATAATACCTGTTTTTAACTCTTTCCAAGGAGTTGTTTTGTGGAAATAACTTCTTTCATCCCACAGAGAATTCTATTGCAGGCAGGCTATTGATTTTTTTCCCTTTAGTCTTCTTTGGTACCCTATTCCTCATCTTCTCTCTTGCATATTTCAGACGAGAAGAAATGCTCCCAAACTAATTTGCTTCCCTCTGTTTAGAGGTGAGGTAAATTCACTGGGTTTTATTTATTAGTTTTTTAGGCACACCTGGCAGTACTCGGGGCTTACTCCGATCTCTGCACTCAGGAATCACTCCTGAAGGTGCTCAGGGGACCGTGTGGAGTACCAGGGATCCAACCCGGATCAGCCACATGCAAAACAAGCACCTTCCTCTCTGTGCTTTCTCTCTCTTTGTGCCTCTGTGGTCTTTCCATAAAGGATCTTCCTGCAATAGGAAGAGTAACCAAACTCTTCAAAGATGCTTTTGTATTACTGCATTACAGTAAAACCTTCATCTCAGTCTACTCCCCCACACACACACACTTATAGTGCCACACACATCTTTTTACCAACATAGATTTTCCCCCTTTTTTTGAAACTCGAAAATTAGGTATTGTAAGTTTTTTCTCTGTGGTGAAGCTCAGGGCATGTATGTGGTGCGGAGAATTTGAACCTTTGAATCAGGTTAACTAATGCAAGGCAAGCATCTTAGGTCCTGTATTATCTCTCCAGGCCAATTATGTTTTTGATGTTCAAGATTCCTGCACCTTCAGCTTCTTTAGTATATGTGCTGCCAAAATGAGCACACCTCCAGCTTCTTTAGAAGACGAGATAAACTTCTCAGAACTTTGTAGTTGTATATGGCTTTCAATCTTGGCACTTATGGTTACCCTCTTGTAGATTTAAGAAAGATCTTTTTTAGGGGCCAGAGAGATAGTACAGTGGACATGGCACTTGCCTTGCACACAGCCAACCCAAATTCAATACCCGGCATCCCATACAGTCCCCAAGCACCACCAGGAGTGATCCCTGAGTGCAGAGCCAGGGTTAACCCGAGAGTATCACTGGGTATGGCCCCCAAATAAAAACAAACAAAAGTCTGTTTAGTTCTAACTTAAAGGGATTTTGTACCTTTGCAGTTATACATTAATGTTCTGTTTATATCAAATGTTCTCTGTCTATGCGGGTGATTATTTTTTTAATCTATAGAAATTTGTATTGTAATATTTTACCAATTAATGCAGATACTTTATTTATAATATAATAATTTTCTAACATAAGGCCAAAGTTTCCTTCTTAGGACAATATATACTTAAACTTTTATTGGTCCATTCAGATTTTTCCTTTTCTGGGCTGACTTTTTCAAGTCCTTATTCTCTCTTGAATACATATTTCCTTTCTTTCTCTACCCTCACGTCATCACTTTAAGTAAATTTTATTCAATAAAACTAAAAAAAATATTAATTTTCTGGAACAAGAGATATAGTGCAGCAGGGAGGACATTTGCCTTATTATGTGGCTGACCTGGACTGGATTCAAGTCCCAGCACCTGATACAGTTCCTGAGCCCTACCAGGAGTAATTCCTAAGTGCAGAGGCAGGAGTAAGTCCTGAGCATAGCCGGAATTGGGCCCAAAACTAAAAACAAATAAACTTTTCTTTCTTCCCTTTGTGAGTTTTGCTTCTGGGACACACACGGCCATGCTCAGGGCTTATTCCTGGTTTTGTGCCCAGGGATCTGTCCTCCTGGTAGTGCTCAGAAGACCATATGGTGTCCTTGGGGTTGAACCTGGATAGGTCATGTGCAAGACAAGCGCTGTGTTACCTTACCCACTGTGTTTCTTTCTGACCTGTCAGAACATTTTGATTCTTCTCTCCTCACTCTTACTAAATTGTGTATTTGTAGTATACATGTATTACATGTCAGTCTCAAATGTATTATAGAATTATTCATCCAATTAATCTTTTTTAACTTAGACACCTGTGAAAAGAAAGATAAATAGTTTTTTTTTTATTATTTTAAAGAGATTCTTTTCGGGCTGGAGCGATAGCACAGCGGGGAGGGCATTTGCCTTGCACGCAGCCAACCTAAGTTCGATCCCCAGCATCCCATATGGTCCCCTGAGCACCGCCAGGGGTAATTCCTGAGTGCAGAGCCAGGAGTGACCCCTGTGTATCGCCAGGTGTGACCCAAAAAGCAAAAAAAATAAAATCTTTTCGGGACTGGAGCCATAGCACAGCAGGTAGGGTGTTTGTCTTGCACGCGGCCAACCCGGGTTCGATTCCCAGCATCCCATAGGGTCCTTTGAGCACCGCCAGGGGTAATTCCTGAGTGCATGAGCCAGGAGTAACCCCTGTGCACCACTGGGTGTGACCCAAAAAAAGAAAAAAAAATTCTTTTCAACTTACTAATTTACAGTTTTGTGGAATTTCAGGAGTGTAGCTTTATTCATCACCACCTCCACAATAAAATTCTTTTAAAGATCTCTGATAGGGGGATAACAGAACCATAGTAAGAGAACAGATGGTCAGAGTCTTCAGAACTGGAGATGTTGTCCTTAAAATTGAGGGAGGGGACAATGCTGGAAGGAAGCAGGCACCCTGCTGATGGGTGTGGTCAGAGTGATGAATACATGACAGTAGAATTGCAGCATGATAAATCTAAGTACCACACAAATGGTTTTGGGGGCTGGGGGTTGGGAGTTTGGGAGGGGTTTTTTTGGGGGGGTTCTTTGCGGAGGTTATGGGGTAGTTTGATTTGGGGGGAGCCACACCTGATGATACTCAGGGGTTATTCCTGGCTCTCTGCTCAGGAATTACTCCTGCTGGTTCTCTGGGGACTATATGGGATGCTGGGGAATCGAACCTGGGTCAGCTGTGTGCAAGGCAGGTCACTGCACCTTCACCACCAACCGAGTGCCCAAGACCCTCCACAACTGTCCTGTTACTTTCTTTCTCCTCATCCCACCACTCCCCCTGCTGCTTGGTATTCCTAGTTTTATAAGCCAAGGTCAAGGGTTTGTCGCCATTTAATACTGTTTGTTCCCTTGTTATGTTTCTCTGTATCCACAGATGAATTACATCATCTGGTATTTGCCCTCCTCCCTCTGACTTAGTTCATATAATGCCATCCAATTTCATCCAAGTTGCAGCAAACTGCAAGATTCCCTTTTTTTTTCTCACAGCTGCTTAGTACAACATTATGTATGTAAAAAAAAAATTACGTATGTATAGCACAGTTCCTTTATCTGCTTATCTGTCATTGGAAAGTTCAGGTTCTATATCCTAGCTGTCGACTTAATGCTCCACTGAACAAAGGTGTACATATACCTTTTTTTAAGTCGTGTTTTTGTGTTCTTGGAAGAGGTACCAAAAAGTGAAATTGCTGGATCATTAGAAAAACTCTTTTCTTTGAGAAGCCACCATACTGTTTTCCAAAGAGACAGCGTTTAAGCCAACAGCTGATGGTTCCTTTCTCACCACATTCCCACCAACATTGGCTGTTTCTGTCCTTTTGATATATGCCATCCTCACTGGTTTGGAATATCTCCCTCTCGTTTTGATTTGCAATTTCCTGATAATAAATAGTGATGAACACTTTGTCATGCACCTACTGGTTGTCCTTAAGTTCAGTGTTCATCTCTTCTCTGCATTTTTTGATGAGGTTATTGATTTTGTTGTTGTCGTTGTTGAGCTTTTAAATACTTTTATAGCTTGCATATTAGTTCCTTGATGTAGAATGTGCAAGTATTTTCTCTTATTCAGTACGGTAGCTTTTTTTAGTTTCTTTTGTCATGCAAAAATTTTTTAGTTTGATATAGTCTCATTTATTTTTGTTCTTGCCTTTTTGCCAGTGTAGTCAAATATTGAAGATCCCTTTTAGGCCCATAGCCTGGAGCGTTCTGCCTGTTTCCTCAATATATTTGATGGATTATTGTCTAATCTTGGTGTCTTTAATACACTTTTAACTTTTGTATATTGTGTGAGCTACGAATCCAGTTTGATTTTTTTTTTTTTTTTGCCAGGGCTCTGCAGTTTTCCCAGCTTTATTTGTTGAGCAGGTTTTGCTGACTCTGCTTCATGCACCCTGCTCCTTTGTCATAGATTAACTGCCAATAGATGTGAAAGTTTATCTCTGAGTTCTCAATTTTATTCCTTTGGTCTGAGTCTGCCTTTATTTCAGTACCACAAAGTTTTTTGTTTTGATTTGGTTTGTTTTGCTTTTGTGACACACCTGGTTGTGCTAAGGGGCTTATTCATGGCTTTATTCTCCTGGCCTTGTGCTCAGGGATCACTCTCTGGCTGGATTCGAGAGATCCCAGGGATCAAACCCGAGTTAGCCATGTTCAAGGCAAACAGTCCATCCACTGTACTATCTCTCCAACCCCTACTAAGTTTTGACTACAGATTTGTAACATAATTATAGTCAGGAAATGAAATACCTTCCATCTTCTTTTTTCTCAGATTTGTTTCAGCTCTTCAGGGGGTTTTATGATTCCATATAAATTTTAGTCGTGTTTGCTCTCAGTGCTTAAAGGATGTCTTCATTGAATCTGCATTGCAGTTGAATCTGAATTGAATCTGTATTGCATTGAATCTGCACAATGCTTTGGATAGGATCCATGAACATGGAATATTTTTTCATTTCTGTGTCCTCTTATGTTTCTTTCAATAATGACTTGAGTTTTTGATGGTTAAATCTTTCACACCCTTTGTTATTCTGATTCCTAAGTATCTGATGCTTTAGATACTTCTTTTATTTTTAATTTTTTAATGTTTTTGTTTGTTTTGTTTTGTCTTTGAGCCATACCCAGCTGTACTCAGGACTTCCTCCTGGCTCTGTGCTCAGGGATTATTTCTGACTTTGCTCAGGGAACTCTATAGGGTGTTGGATCAGACACATGTAAGGCAAGTGCCCTGTCTGCTATACTATCACTCCAGTGTACCCTGCTTTTTCACTTTTTAAATTTTTTTCTTTATTGAGATATCATAGTTTATAATATTGTTAAAGTTGGTATTTCACCGTTGCAGAGATAGTCCTCCCACCAATGTTTCAAGATACTTCCATCATATTTTCTACGAATTTTTAGACATTGTTTTAAATAAGATTTTTTTTTTATTTATTTTTCTTCTAGTTCATTGGTTGCATATAGAAATGCAACAGACTTTTGTGTATTGATTTAATAGCCTTGTCACATTGGTGTACTGCTTCTAAGAGTTTTCTTAGTGGAGTCCTAAGGGTCTTATACATATATATATATATACATATATATATAAAATCATGTTATATGCAGATAGTGACAGTTCTTCTTTTCTAATTCTCATGCCTTTGATTTTTTTTCCCTTGCCTGATTGTTGTGGCAACAACTTCCAAAACAATAGTGAATAAAAATAGATATGACATTGGCTGTGGATTTGCCCTACTGCCTTAAGGTGCATTCCTTCTGATGATGAATGGATGTTGAGTCTTATCAAAAACTTTCTCTGCATCTGTTGATGCAATCATATGATTTTTGTCTTTTGTTGATGTGCTGAATTACATTACTAATTCGTGTATATCGAATCATCCTTGCATTTCTGGAATGATTTCCACTAGATCATGATGTATGAACCTTTTGATATATTGTTGGATTCAGTTTACTAAGATTTTTGTTGTCATTTTTTGCATTGATAACATATCTTAAAACACATTTCAGTGGGGCTGGAATGATGATACAGTGAGTAAGGCACTTGACTTGCACAAGACTGACCTAGGTTCAGTTCCCTGCACTTTTTATGATCTCCCAGTCACCCCCAGGAATGATTGCTGATTGTGGAGCTAGAGGATGTCCCAAAAACCTAACACACACACACACACACACACACACACATACTATTATAAGATCAGATATGTAGCTTAGTCATTGAGTACATGCTGTGCATGTGCAAGGACCTGAGTTCAGTCCCCTCCACCACAAAGGGAAGCAAAACAAAAATCATTTCCTTCACCTATATAAAGTTATCTAACAATCAGAGTAGGAATTGAGCAGAAGGAAGGCTGTTTCATGGGTCTTTTCCTTTTTGAGTGTGTTAAATTGTGTCTTACCTTATTTTTCCATTTGCTACCAAATTCCTTCCCTCCAACGGTTAACTTTTTTTTTTTTATGTATTTGGTCAAACAGGAAAACTGCGGGATGTCGGTGTGTAACGGTAAAATATACATCCTGGGTGGAAGACGGGAAAATGGGGAAGCCACAGACACTATTCTCTGTTACGATCCTGCCACAAGTATCATCACAGGCGTCGCCGCGATGCCCCGACCGGTGTCCTACCATGGCTGTGTGACTATTCATAGATACAATGAGAAATGCTTTAAGCTCTGAAGCCAAGGATACCTCACCCAAGAAGCCACAGCAATTCAAGATACAAGAGGTTTGAGAAAAAGCGAAAATCAAAAACTCAATGGGAACTGACATATTTCCTCCTTTGTGCCATGTAAAAAAAGGGGGGGTAAAGATAATCATTGTGGTGCCTTTCTCCCCCCAATACTGATGTTTCAACCTGTAATAACGCATTTCCCATAACTGAAGGGGAAAAAAATCCTTTTGTTTGTTTGAAAGTAATAGTGGTTGTGCTTGGGCGTTCAGAGCTTCCTTTTGCAAATATTTGTAAGAAACTTTTGTGTGGTAGGAAATAGTGTCAACCTACATTACTTTTAGGACTGTATGAATGATTTCTTCATTTCTTCATTCTTCATGTATGATTATCTGCAAGACTGTATATTCCTTATTTCGTGATAGAACAATTAATTACGTGACATCGGGCTTCATTTAGTTTGAATATTAGAATGCTTAATAATGAATTCTTAAAGCAGTGGTTTTTAAAACCATTTCCCCAGGGAGGGAAAAAAAACATACTGATTCGTTTTATTGAAGATTGTTTCTGTACTTGATAAAAATGTCATGACAGTGTTTTCATATCATAATATACTGAATCATCTAGGCTGTGTTCTTAAAATTTCTGTCTCATGGTTTGAGAAAGAGGTTTATTTCAAGAGAGACAGAGAGAGATGTGGTAGGGAAGAAATAACAAAAACACAAGTCCTTAAGATGGACGCTAAAATTCTAGGCTGATTTAAGTCACCGAAATCTGTTTTGTAACTTTATCCTATAAAAACAGGGACAGTCTTTTTCCCTGGCACTGTAGGTTTGACCCCTGTAGTCCAGTACTTTGGATGAGGGTCTTTTCCCTGGTGAGCCTGTTGAGAATGGCTGAAAGTCCTGGGAGTCTTTACCCCTGAGTTGCCTGTCTAGGATAAAGTGGGGACCACCTATCTCAGTGGGTCCATTTGGCTTGTAAAATATGCTATCTTTAAAAGATTGACAGTGGTAGTCGAGGCATCTAAGATGAATCGTTCATTTGTACCCCTTATATAGATAGAGCTCTTTGCTCTCAAGTTCATGTACTGGAAATTACCTTGGTCTAGATTTTTCAACTTCAAATTTAAGGCTAACTAGTTTTTAAAGAGTAATATTAAGGTTATTTGTTAAGGTGTATGGAATTGCAGGAGCAACTGCTTAAATAATTATTATTATTGCTGAATAGGCAGAAATAATTCACAGTATTTTAAGGGTTTTCCAGGAGCCTGTTGTATTTCAGTGTCCCAGGCACTATGGTCTAACATTACAATTGCATGCTCCTGTGATTACATATATAATAATAATTGTATATGTATAATTGTATAAGTGAGAAGTTACAAATATGAGATTTGGTGTCACAGATTTCTCTTGAAATCTAGGTGATTTACACCGAAACCCTAATGTCGATATAAATTACCTGTGTATTTTCTCATATTAGAATGATCCAGATTTCAAATGAAATATCAAGCATCAACTTTAATGCTTATTAGCTCGAACACTTAGTTGGACTCTGAATTCCAAAAGAAAGCCTAGTTTTTATTATTCAGATTATAATTTGAAAGATGTACCTTCTGTGATCTTTGTCAGCAATTTAGGAAACAAATTTTTTCTCATTTTAGTTAAAAGATGATTATAGTTACAGTCAGGATAGAAGTACTTTAGTGATTACTTTTTTCTTAAAGTAAATATCGACTTTCTTATACCTTTTGTAGATAATGAAACCTATTTAGTACAGAAAAATCTCTGCAGTAAGGGAGAAAACCTTTGCAATAAGTGAGTATGAGGACAGTATGAGTCTGAGCTGAGGTAATATTATAGAAATGATGTGTGTTACGTAGTGTATTTCTGAGATCATCCAGACACATCACAAGACTTTCTCAAACTAATCTGTATTCTAGTACTTTTGTTTATTGTAAAAGCATTAACTCTTTACTTGTATTTTATTATACATTTGTTTTTTAATATCGATGTGTTTATTGTAATCATTTGAAATGAAATTCTATAAAATAGAATTTGTTTAAACATAAGTGTCATACCAATATTGTTTAAGTTTTTTCTCAACATAATTTAAAGCTACATCGGTTAAATTGACTACCAAGAACGTAGCTTGAGTCCTAGGAAATTAAAGTAACTATTTTTGAAGCCGAAACTGATACTTTCATTTCCTCTATCTTCCTTTATTGGTTTTTGATAAATACTGATGTTAACATTGATGGAGAATTCTTAAAATTCTGTCAAAAGGGAAATATCAGTGAAGTTTGTATTTGATTATATTCATGTAGTCATTTCATAGTTGGAAAATTTTCTGTGATAAGTAATACTCATGTAAGCCTTTAGGTTAGTATGTATGTATATACATGTATATATGTAGATATAGTATGGTCATGTATGCATAAATACAAACTCCCCAAATTTGATCAGTTTGTGATTATCAGGAAAAGGCACATAAAGTAAAACTTAGTTGCCATTTTTAAATTCAGTTCCAGAAGTTCTTTCACTTGTGCATTTCTAAAATGTGTTTTTATATTTGCGAGTACATAATGACTAATAGAATGATTTGTAGACAGAATCTATATCAAACATTTGGTTTTGCAAAATTTGAAAACAAATTTGAGGTAGATATAAGTTTGCAAATCCCAGCTGTGATACCTCAGTAGGACAGGGAATTCAAGGGTATGTTTTATGGATCAATAGAAAAAATAGTTTTACTTTTTATGAACTTTAGTCCTTTGCCAGTTTTTTCTCTGTGTGAGTGGACTATAAAGTAGTCTGGATTTTACCACAAGACTTTCCTTTTCTCCTCTAATCTTCCCACCCACTTGACTGCGCAACTATGAAATGATAGCCTCTGGGTTCTTCAGTGACTGAAAGCTGACTCCTAGATGACTGAAATGCAAGTTGTTGTTTTTTCCTCGGGTAAAAAAAAAATGATGAAAATACTCAGGGAGGGTATTCGCTTTCATTTTGCCCACTGGGGTGTTCACGGTGCCATGATTGAACTTGCAGTCTATGATTCTAGAGTAAATTAAATTTGATCAAGGGGCTTCACACATGACAGTGGTTAACATTCATTCTTTGATACTGAAAAAAGGTGAAAATGTTCTGTGGACTGATTCATTTTCTCTTAGTGAAAATGACTTGTTTATATCTCTATGTCAACTACCCTTTCGACTCTCAGGAAAGACAACGGTTCAGCTACACTACTTCTGTCAGTATGCAAACCAGGTGTTTTTGTTTGTTTGTTTGTTTTTTCTGTTGTCTGGATATGACAATAGATTTTTTTTTTTAAAGAATCGCTGTGAGAACTCATACATGAAAAGAGAGGGTTGATTGTGTGTGCCTTTTTGTGTCTTGAGATTTATTTGTGGAAAAGACAAGAGATTGCATTCATGTGGTGGCAGGTGATAAGATCGTCTCTTAAAGGCTTCCTGTGGATTGCCTTTGTGTTACTACACTCAAGACACCAGCAAACCTCAACAGAATTTTGGCCTTACTAGAATTTACTGTGCATTGTCCATTGTACTGAAAACCAGGTTTACACCCCTATCCCATGATTTTTAGTTAAATAAATTCGCCGTCCCAAGTATCCAGAACAGGTTAATTTGGTTACCTTCAGGCAGTAAATTGGACTGGCTAGCTATACCTCCTGTGACATCCCACATTAGGTGTTAGGAAAACCACTTGAGCCAGGCGTCTGATAATTCCAGAGACATTTCAACGTATTTCAGACATTTTTAGTGTTTTATATGAATGTTTTTACATGTGTGATTGCCTTAGATAATAAATTTGTTTAGTGCTAAAGATGATTATCATTTTTGAAACAGCAGTTGTCATAACTTATTTTCTATATTGTTCCAAAGAAGAATATGTTTTCATATCTTCAAAATAACAGCCTCTGCATTAGGTTATGTGCCTTAAGTTCTCTAGTGCTGTTTCCCATTTGGCTTTTTTTTTTCTTCATTAAAACTTATGTGAGATAAATTGCCTATGTACTCCCTATGAAATAAAGTTCCTTTCAAAAAGTTTTAAATGAGCACCAGCCCTGTGGTTGTTTGGCAGAATGAGACTGTTGAGAGAGGTTGTTGGGTGTTTGGAGTTTCGTTAATATATTTCGGTTTGTTTCATCTTTGATACCACAGTGCTTTATTGAAGATATTCGTTGATTAAACTGTTGTCATACTCACCTACCGGACCTCCACGTAACATCAAGAAAGTAAATCCACTTTTTTTCTATTCTAATGTACGACCTTTTTCCCTCCACAGGCGTTTTCAGATGTAACCCTCCTGAGAAAAGTTTTACTCTTCCTTTCCCAGCGCTCCTCTCATGGCTTCTGTATTTAAAATTCTTTGAGAGTTTCTGAGGCTAAGATAACACAATTACAGAGTAGGATGAAAGCACAGTATCCTTTACAACTTGTACAGACCTGTGGCAGCCGAGTCATTTGCTTTCAATTAAAGACTCCAGGTCTGCAGGGGAGAAAGGAAAACGCTTTGTGTTTCTTTGTTCCCAGTTCAATTGTGTAGCACATGAGTTGTGACATGTTTTAAGTATACTTTGTGCATAGCTGAATTTTGTAAAAAGCGGTATCTAATAAAATGTCGTCTACCCCTAATACTTGACTACATGGTTTATTAAATTTTGTTTACCAAACAATGGATGTCCTGTTTTATTTCAGTATATTTAGGTGTGCAGAGAAGGGGTGGGGAAGACATATTAATAAATGCTGGGATAGGGCTGGAGAGATAGTACAGCAGGTAAGGCATTTTCTTGCATGTGGCTGACTCGAGTTTGATCTCTGGCATCCCATATGGTCCCTCAGACATGGCCAGGAGTCCTTTATAAGTGCAGAGCCAGGAGCGAACCTAGAGCATCACCACCAGGTAAAAGGTAAAGGTAAAGGCCCTCCCGTTGATCGTCGATTTGCTCGAGCGGGCCCAGTAACGTCTCCAGTGGAGACTTTGTTGTTACTGTGTTTGGCATATCGAATACTCTCGGTAGCTTGCCGGGCTCTCCGAGAGGGGCGGAGGAATCGAACTCGGGTCGGCCATGTTGGCCGCGTGTAAGGCAAACGCCCTACCCGCTGTGCTATCGCTCCAGCCACCAGGAGTGCCTCAAAATTGTTTTGAAATATTAAATTTCAAAAATTTAGTGTGTCCATAAATTAGCTAGAAGGATAAATAAGAAATAGAGGATATTGAGGTATATAAGGAAAGGCCATGGTAGTTGAGGAACAAGTATAAAAGAAATTTCACTATATACTCAGATATAAATTAGAGGTGTAATATACATGTGACGTGTAGTTACATATAAAAATAATGTATTTTTAAATCTGAACTACATGGTTATGTTGCTATTCCCCAAAAAAATGTAATTACTAGGAAATAATCCAATAATCCATAGCACTTATATTCGAGTGCCTTTTGACTTAGTTCTAAAATGAACCTCAGTAGTAATATTAGGGTATGGTTTAAGTTTTATCCCAGGGCTGGAGAGATAGCTCAGCAGGGTCGCTGTTTGCCTTGCATACAGCCAACCTGGGTTTGATCCCCGGCATCCCATATATTTCCCCAACCCCCTTCAGGAGTGATCCTTGAGTACAGAGCCAGAACTAAACCCTGAGCACAGACACATGTGGTCCCCAAACAGAAACAAAGTTTAATTTTAGGACCTGAGAGACAGCTCAGAGGGCTGGTGCACACACTTTGCATGGTGTGAGAGCCCTGGGTCTGACCGCTGGACAGCCTGCCTGCTGGCACCCCCAGGAGCGACCCCCACGCACGGCCAGGTGTGATCCCCAAACAAAAGGTTCTATTTCATCATGGATTTGGGCTCCCCCTCGGCTTCTGTCCAACTGTCATGAGACCGCATAGCACTGTAGGATGCCATGTCCTGCCTCCTTGCCTTTCCTCCCTTGTTTTCTGAGTCCAGTGGCTCTCCCAGACGTTGTGGTCTCCCCGTTTTCCTACATGTTGATCATTTCACTTGATCACTTGACATCCTGTTACTCATTGAGTTGCTTGAGCGGGCGCCAATAATATCTCCGTTCGTCCCTGTCACGTGCTATTATAGCCCAATGGTGTCTGCTCACTCCAGGAACACGAAGAGCCTCAAACCGTTTACTCAGGGTCTTGATGAAGAAGCCTGACCATCTCGCAGGTGGGTGGCCATGCATTCTTTTGATGTCCTGTGGAATCCAGTCGGTAGCAGCTCTAGTCCTTGATATTAGAAAGCAAAAACTCAAATTTTGGGAAGATACAAAAAGATCACAGAAGTAGATGCAATGCTTATCTTTGTTTCATTTTCTGATTTGGGGTCTTTTTGGTTGTTTTTTGGGTCCCACTGGCAATCTTAGGGCTCACTCTGGCACAGCTCAGGGGTTGAAATGAGATGCTGGGGATAGAACTCAGGTCAGCCACATGTGAGGCAAACATCTTACCCACTATACTCTTATTTTAAAGCAAGGTCATCAAAGTAAGTTGTCAAGGACCAGAGAGATAATGACATTCAGGCATTTGCCTTGCCTGCAACCCAGCCTGGTTAGATTCCCAGCACCACAAATTGTGGTTTCTCCAAGCTCTACCAGGAGTGATCCCAGTGCATAGAACCAGAAGTTAAGCCCTGAGCATAACTGAGTGTGACCCCTAAACTGTCACTGTCACCGTCACTGTCCTCCTGTTGTTCATGGATTTGCTTGAGCGGGCCCAGTAACGTCTCCATTGTGAGACTTGTTGTTACTGTGTTTGGCATATCGAATGTGTTATGGGGAGCTTGCCAGGCTTTGCCGTGCGAGATACTCTTGGTAGCTTGCCGGGCTCTCCAAGAGGGGCGGAGGAATCGAACCCAGGTCAGCCCGGTTGGCTGTGTGCAAGGCAAATGCCCTACCTTACCTGTGCTATCACTCCAGCCCAAATTAAATCAATAAAATGCTTTCAATTAAAGCACTGTGACATAAAATTATTCATAGTTGGATTTTAGACATACGTTTCAGCATCAATCCCACCAGTGTTTTTGGTTCCCTCTCCTCCCCTCCCACCCCCAGTCTGCCCTCTTGACAGGCACCTTACTAAGTTTGGTTGTTAAAGTTATCTCATGATTTCAGTGTTGTTGACTGCGTGGTTTGGATAGTTAGCTCTGTCATTTCTTTTTTTTTTCTTTTTGGGTCACACCCAGCAATGCACAGGGGTCATTCCTGGCTCTGCACTCAGGAATTACCCCTGGCGGTGCTCAGGGGACCATATGGGATGCTGGGAATTGAACCCGGGTCGGCCGCATGCAAGGCAAACGCCCTACCCGCTGTGCTATTGCTCCAGCTCTGTCATTTCTTGATAAGTTTGAGTATTCTTAAATAATCAATGCTTAGGCTGTTTTTATTTTCATCCTCTGCAGCCGTCGCTGAAAGAATGTGGATCTCAACATTTGATTCCAGCCAGTACTCTGCCCTGCAGCTCCCTCACATCTCTGAGCCCAACTTCCTTTCTGCTAGGAAAAAGATGTGATCTGACTCACACGCAGATGAGATCATGGAATATAAGTTGAGAACAGTTATGCTCTCAGTTCTGGCACAAAAGAGAGCATAACTGTTGATTTCTCGTGCAGCTGGTTTGGGACAAAAACACAAAGCGCAAAGGCAGAGGAGCTGAAAGAATGAGAAGTATTGGTTAACTTAAGCAATGGACAAAGGATAGAAGAAACTTGTACGTTAAATTTTCTCGAAAGGGAAAAACCACCTCAGGGTCAGGGAAACATTATAGGGATTAAGGCACATGCTTTGCATGCAGCTGACCCCAATTTGATTCCTAGACCCACACGGCCCCCAAGCGCTGGGGTGGCCTCCGTGTGCCCCGGCATCACAGCTCATAAGCAGCCCTACATCCTCTGGCCGTGACTCTCAGCCACCATCCCAGTCATCTGAAAATTGTCATTAGCGCCCCCAGATTCTCTCAGCACCTCTCTGAGCCTCCCTCACAAAGGGAAAAAAAACCACTCCTGTCATACTAGAATAAGAAGAGAAAGGGGCTTGGTCTGCCTTCAGTTTCGCTGCTACTAACCGTTAATGCTACTATGGCTTCCTCTTGATTATGTTGGTGGTGGTGTCTTACTCTGTGTGTGTGTGTGTGTGTGTGTGTGTGTGTGTGTGTGTGTGTGTGTGTGTGTTTGGCTGTATGCTTTGGCTCAAGCCTTACTCTTAGCTCTTTGCTCAGGAGTTTACTCCTGATGGTGCTCAGGGAACCCATGTGTGGTGCCAGGAATTCTAACCGGGCTCACCCACATCCAAAGCAAGTACCTTAACCTCTCTGCCATCTATCTGGCCACAATTTTCTTTATTTTATGTTGATTTGACATCTTTTGGGTGGGACTTTGTTAGCTGATGAGAGATGGGCCCTCCTGGAACTAATTCCTAGAGATAGTAAACAACTTGCTCGTAAGCCCACCTTTTATATATAAATTGACCAATCCCTTGCTCAGACCTTTAACTCATACCAGGCAGTAGTTCCCCTGCCTTAACCCACCTTGGGCTCAGGGTCCAGACAACTAAGCACAGCCCATGGGTCCCAGTTCTTGTCTCAATTATTCTAGCTGAACAGTCCTACATTGTCTTCCCTGCCCTGCTTTCCTGTGAAGAAACTTTGACTTCCCTGTGGAAAAACCATAATGATTGGCCTAAGCCATCCCCTCATTCATTTCTGAGACTGTTCCTTCCTCTAGCACCTGTGTGTCATGCTGTGCCTCTGATCTAGAGGAACTCCAAGGAACAAACTTCTGGCATTGACATCTCCATTGTTCACTCAGCCTCCCTTTATTTAAAAAAGACTCATAAAATAAGTCACTCATTCATTATTGCGTTCTGATACAAAACTTGACACAAAGGTGCTTGATGTTTTAGTGCTAAAAGAATCAATTCTGGAGCCAGAGTGATAGTGCGGTGGGTCGGGCATTTACTTTGCCTGTGTACAACCCAGGTTTTTTAGTTCCCTGGCACTCCATATGGTCTTCAAAGCCCTGCCAGGAGTGATGCCTGAGTGCAGAGCCAGGAGTAAGCCCTGAGTGCCACCAGGTGTAACCCAAAAACAACAACAAAAAAGATTCAAAAAGCTATTTTAGCCTATTTAAAGCAGACCTTGGGGCTGGAGAGACAGCATAAGAGGAAAGTACTTGTTTTGCATGCAGCTGACCCAAGTTCAAAGCTCTGGTATCCTGAGCATCAACAGGAGTGACCATTAGCACGGTGCCAGTAGTAGCCCCTGAGCATCACTGGGTGTGATTCAAAAGCCAATTACTACTACTACTACTACTGATGATGATGATGATGATGATGGTGATGATGATGGTGATAATAACAGACTTTAAAGGGTTAGGGTACATGTATGCTACAGGAAGCCTGGGTTTGACCCCTAGCACTGCAGGGTCTCCAGAGCATGCCCAGAAGTAGACCCGACCTTGCCCCAAGCAACAAGCTAGGCATTGTACCAAAACACTGTAGGGCGTGACCCAAAAATAAGAAAAAGTAAAATAGACTTTAAGACAGGGCCTTGAGTCGCAATTCAATAAAATAATTCATCCTAAAGTGGAAATCAGTTCAAGTAATAAGACTCTGAGTACTCTTATGTAGAGAAAATGGGATTGGGTGGGGGAGGGGTGTAGGGAAAATG